TCCTAGCCATTGTGTAGAAATGCATTAATTTTAAAACAAAATAAATTATGTACCTTTTGAAAAACAAAAAGAAAAGCCATACACACACACAATAAAACAGACATACTCTGTTGCTTCTTCCATATCCCTCAGAGTTATAGCCAACACCTGTGGTCACACAAGGGCAGACTTAGCAGCTGTAGAACCCAGATGTCAGACACTGGATTGTCGTCCCTGGCAGCAGTTCTAAGTTGGAGTCTGTCTCCCCATCTGACCTCTGAAATGGTCTATTGTCTGATTCTCTTTCTGGTCTGCGTAGTAACTAATAAGCTGTCTGTCAGGGCTGGTTTGGAGTTAGTGTACTGATGGGTTGTTCTGGATGCAATTATCTTCTGCTTTACCTTTGATTGTAAGGAATTTATTTCCTTTGAAAGGGTGAAAATAGGGATTGGGCAAATTCTTGACAAAGAACTCTATTCAGGTTTCTTCCAAGGATAAAATAAGATGATTTTGCTTTATTTGATTGTCTCTTTCCCAATTGAAATTGATGACATCAAACTCTATGTTTTAGCACACAGTGACATTTTGTTAATCAGAAGCAAAATTAAGAGTTTCTTGGGCACCTCCTCCTCCAAAAGAAGACTGGATTTTCTTTTACTGCTTTTTAAAACTACTCCTCAAAGGTTGAAAATGAAATCTTTCTTTAGAAAATTAAGGAGATACAAAAAAAGAGTCTCACCTATTATAGAGAAGAACTTCTAGTATCATTAGTTTTCTTGGTTTTTAAAGAGGACGATAATTACAATATCACCTCATCTCTATACCATTTGCTAAAAAATGGCATTACGTATAAGACGCAGCCATCTTAGGAATGAGGTAGGAAAAGGTGGGTACGATATGACACTTGTAGCCCTATCAGGAAGGTCTATTGTGCACATGGTTAACCACAGCAAGCTCAGGACAAACATGCCTGATATTTATAGGAAGATGGGTATCATACCCAACAGCAAACAGTATTCATCTGCCCCAGGTAGAATGTTCCATTTTTCTTTATCAACTTTTATTATATAAAAATATAAATACGTCTCTTGGCCATCACTGATTTAGACTTAGAAAAAAGAATATTCATACATTCATACTAATAAAAATAAGTATTTGGTAAATAGACAAATTGGGGGAAAGAGACAAATCTCCTGTGGACAAGAACTCCAAATAATTTATGTGATACTTGCCCTTCAAGGAGGTAGGGTTTAATTTTCTACCCTTTGAGTTTGGGGCTGTGTTTTGTGATTTAGTTTTAAATACTGGAATACAAAAAGGTTGGGGAAAATATGGTGGAGAAACCTCGGAAACACTACCTTGGCCAGGGGGGCCAACGTTAGCATCTTCAGTATAATATACTAAATATGATACAATATAAATTGTTATATTTGTAGCAGATACTTGATATGACACAACCTCATGGAAAGGGCACAGCATTTTAAAAGTAGTCCTTCAAAAGCCCTAACCCTCAATCTACCCACGTCAAAGCATCAGATAAAACCCTCTTGAGAAACATTCTACAAACCTGGCCAGTACTCCTTAAAACTGTCAAGGTCATCAAAAACAAGATGTCTGAGAAACTGTCACAGCCACAGAGACCGGAGACCTAAATGTAATGTGCTATACTGGATAGGAAGCAAGAAGAGAAAAAGGACATTAGAGGAAAACTCTGCAATCTGAATATGGTGTGGTGTTTAGTTAGTGAGAATGTGCCAATATTGGTTCCCTAGTTACAAATGTACCCTAATACATCTTGGGATGGCAAGAGTAGAAATTGGGTGAGAGGGGTATGTGGGAACCACTATACTATTTCATAACTTTGATGCAAAAGTACTTTAAAAGAAAAAGTCTATATAAATTTTAAAAAGATTAACATATTGTTGTATTGACTGTAACAGAATTCCTATGCTTCAATCAATACATCTTCTTCTCTTTCTCAGACATACCTACCAAACAAACCATATGGCATAGAATCATTTTCCTGAAACATAAGAATACTTCATCCTTCCAGACAATTTAGTATGAGTGCAGTTAGACTTGTTCTGAAAGTTTTAGATTTCCCAATAATATCTAGGCCATGCTCTCAGTAATATGGCACAAATGCTCAAAAAGATAATGCCCACAAACCCATATTTCTCAATGTCTTGAGAATAGGTTTGACAGAACATCCTTCAACCACCTTTCTGATAATGACAGCCACATGAAATATAAGTTTAATGACATGATTAATAAGACAAAGCACTAACCTCTGAAATTAATATATTCTTTGTTAGATTACTAAGAGTAGTGGGTCATGTTCACATATTGATCAATTGTTATTGTGGCAGGCACAGGGGTAAAGTCTGATGTACTGCTGTTTCAGAACATGGAGGAGATTATTTCATTAGTTCTCCTCACTTGTCCTTTAAAAATAGAAGAGATTTTTTTTCATGCTGTTTTCAATTTATTCTTTTACTCTATGAAAGGCAAAAATAAGTATTAGTTTCAATTAATGTTACTTTAAAACTATTGTGGGTTTGTTAATATTTTAATGGTAAAATTTTAAAAGTTCAGTTAATCAAACTATAACTAACTACAATAACAAATTGGTTAGAATTGTCTGTTTTTAGGGAAGATTATAATGCCATTATTTCTCTAATTCTATTTTTGGAAATAAATGTAAATGCCATTAATGTAAATACCATTACATAAAGAATATAAATAGGAAAAAATACATGCAATTTTCTGAATATGTTAATAATTTATGGCCAAAAAAATAGATTCCATAAAATCACTTGTACATTCTATACTTAACAGTACTTTATAATTATAACTTTTATTAAGGAAAAGGACAATAATTCTTGATAATAAGAAAAAAGTAGGCACTAAGTAATTCTTAGTTAAGCCAGAAGAATTAACTAGCATACTTCAGAAATATTTTTCATAGTGAGATATTAAATATGGAATAAAATACCGGGGTAGAGGGGATCTACAATGAAGGTAGGTAGGTATTTTTTATGTTACACTTTAAGTAGTTCAATTAATACATATTTTGCATTTCATTAGACTACTGTGTGTATGGTTAGTAATAGAATTGTAACAGTCCTCTTCCCAGAACACTGATGATGTTCCAAGCTTTAAGTTGCCAGGCATTTAACACAGACTTACAACTATAACCTGCACAACTCTGTAAGGTACAGACAATTTGTATCTAACAATCAGGGAACTAAGGATACTAGAAATTAGGGGATGACCCCCATAACTTGTAAGAAATTAGGGGATGACCCCCACTCTGACTAAAGTGAGACTGAAGAAAACTGGCTAGTTGGCTCAAATGCCTGAACTCTTTTCCATATCATATAACTTTGTTATAATTTGCATTATACTAACACTCTGAAACATTATTAACTAGGCTATTATTTTGCCTTTCTTAGCTTCAGTTTTCTCTAGGGTAAAATGCAGTTGGCTTATTGATTCCTAACGTTTCTTTCAGTTTTAAAATAGTAACATTGATTTATGTACAGGATAAGAAAATTTAAGTGGTCATTTTCACAATATTTCTATTTCAAAAAGGTTATTAACACTGACCTTTACTAAATTTTGTGAAGATGGGCTCTATCTAGAGTTATTCACATCATTTCTCTCAAATTCCTCCAGTCCCAGTAAGCCAGGGCTAGTGATCTTATTTACCATTTTCAATATTATTCTTTAAAATATACATAGAAGAGGAAATTCTGTATTTCTCTCTGCATTATATGCTTAAATCTCTGCCTTCTACAGACTCAATAACCTGCATTCAGATGTGAGTAATGCAAAGAAAGCCATTTTTCTGGACTGGAAATGATCAAAATATTTATTTTAATTCACATTTATTTAAATATAACAACTTTTAGAGACAAATGAAGGCACTTACAAGCACATTTATAATATGGCAGACATAAATGTTGATGAAATGTAAAAGTATTTTAGACAAAACCTAACACAGAAATTAGACAAATCGACTATACGCTTACATTTAGTTTTAAGAATACATTAAGATGGATATTTCAGAAGAGCGTACTTTCACAGAACTGCTACAAAATGTTCACATTTGTCTTGGCAATAAGTCATATTTCCAAGACTGATGTTTTATGAAAAAACTATGTAAAGATCTAATGTAATCATTAACCTCATATGGTAACATTATTTGTAAATGAAGCATATTTTTGTCAATAGAAATGTTTCTGCCTTTTAAATTACATAGCATTTTTATCAAGACCATACCACCATACCACATTTATTAAATAAACATGCATAACACATTAAAACATGAATAATTCATATACCTTAATGAATAATATTTAGTTTTACTATGGAACTCTATCTTTGTGAAAAAATATACTTAAAATTTGGCACAGAATTAATAAATCATGTTGCTGGTATATGATTTAAATTCTCAATGACTGTTCTCAATGAACAGTCTCTATCACAACTCACCTCTTCCCTTTACAGTTTATTAACCAATTATAGTTCTGTTTTAGTTGGAATAACTAATAAATATTCAAGAATTAAAAGTTCTATTTAGGTATTTTTGCCTACATTCTAATTGGAAATAAATCGATTCTAGTTTTTCTAGCAGTAAAACATTTCCATTTGTAATGTGGCCAACAAATTCCTAAATAGTGGTGTTAATAATAACATGTATCATCATAAGATGTTTTCCTGTAGGGAGGCATAGGATGAAAAGGAAGCATGGATCTCTCCGTAACATATGTGATAAGGACAGCAAAACAAGAGACACACAAAGTGAAAAAGGATTGTTGTCACGGGTTTAAAAAAAACAAAGCGTACCACTCCAGAAACAGCACTGAGCAGTTACAGGATCCTTGTATCAGCAAATTACCACTGCTGTTTTGGAAAAGTTTTAAATCTCTACATCAATATGTTTAAAGTGAGACTAAAGAAATTTAACTGGTAATTTTTTTTTTTTCTGAATTCATTCATAAACACTATGAAAGAAAAAAGGAAATAACATTAATTCCGGCTTCCCTCAATACAGAGAAGAGACTTCACACTCACTTTGGGCTTAGACTTCAGAGCTGTGGTAACTAAAAAATGCCACAGTTCTTTTTCACAGTACTTCTAAAATAAATTAAGGTGTTAGATGTTGAGAGACTGACTATAGGAATCTACTCCTTTCATAAAACCTTCATAGTGTAATTTTTATATTTACAATGTGGGGGAAAGAAAGTAGAACTGAAATTCAATTATTATACAAAGGGACCTTACCCTAAAAATTAGAGCAATGGATTAGAGCACGACCTTCTTTGCTTTATGATCCTTGCTGTGCTCAGGGCCTTTAAATAGCACAATGGCAAAGAACATCAAATAGGTTAAATAAAACAGGCAAAAAATTTTGAAAGCTGCTGAGGTGCACATAGACATAAAGATTATGAATCACAAAGCACTGAATTTTCAAGAGTGAAATCATACCAAAAGCGTGATAAGTTTTCGCTGACATCATAGGAGGGTAAGTGGTCAGGAAGGTCAGTGATGGTGCCCTGCACGGCCAGCACGTGTGGGGCCAAGGTGAAGGGTACATCGCTCAGGAGTTCGGCCATTAATGAGGTGTTCTCCAGAGTCTGGCCTGTCTTATTTTCCATCTCACAGCCTGATTCAGTCACATGGGATGAGTTTTCTTTGGCAGTCTAAAAATATACATATTTAAAACATTTAGACCTTGTGAACTGTGAGGTTTAGTAATAGTAAATGTGGCATCAATACATCAAAATGAATGAGAAATATAAATACATAAATATTCCCAGATTAGAATGCAACTATTTACTTGAGAAATATGTCCATTGGAATGCTAGGCTTTAAAATGAATCCTAAAGTCTACTCTTACTCAGACTAACCACCCATAACCCCCTTATATACAAACTGGCTATATTGCCATTTCCCAAGCTCACATAAAGTCTATAAAGTCCACCTCTGCTTTTAATGCTTTTAGGCTCTGCTGAATTCTCAGCTTCTCTATGAAATTTCGTATCACCAGAGTCCAAAGTGATTGGAGTCCAAAAGTCTTGCCCATTTTAAAATGCGTATGAGGCAAATTGCCGAGGACGTTATTTGACATTTCCTCTGCGTGTCCTTGCGAGTTGCTATTCCATTCTATAGGCATGTATCTTATCTTCAACTACACTGTAGGGTCCTTGAGGGCAAGAAATCGATTTGACATGTTTTTATATTCTTTACCTTGCATACTGCTTTACCCAAACATACACTTGAGAATGTACCTCAACTGTGTACAAGTACTGACTGATTGCCTGACTTTCACTGGAACTAACACTATGTCACAAAAGTTATTCACATACAAAAAATTGATATATCTTGTTCAATTTCTTCAAAATTAATGTCTTGCAAACACTAGTTTACAGAAGATAGGCCCTAAGATAGTCATAGCAGCCCTCACTGCAAGCCCCAAGCTAGGAACTACCTAAAGTAAATATCAATAGTGGAATGGATAATAAATTGAATGACCTGCTATAATAAGCAGCTGGAAGCTAACTCAAACCAGCTGGGGCAAAAAAGTGACTCCCCACCCCCCACCCCTTCCATCTCATGCAGAATGAAACTCCCAAGCTTCACAGAGGCCGACTTGCTCCTTCTGGATCTGGAACAAGGTACATCTCTGACCTTACCCACAAATAGTGTCCCCTCGCCCCTCTCCTGTTCCACTGCCTCCTTGCTAGTGTACACCCAGGCTGCTTCTGCCTCAGGCCCTTTGCCTTTCATTCCCTCTGTTCCTCCTTCTTCCCAAGTGCTCGCCCAGATGCCACTTTTGCAGCAAGGCCTTTTCTTAGTGAAAACTGCTGCTTTTAAATAAAACTGTTGCTAAAAATGCTTGCCTCCATTCTGCACTCCCTTTCTCTGACCCTCTCCTGCTTTATGCCTCTCTGTAGCCTTAGCTATGTGCTAGCCCTTGCTACGGATTCTGATAATCATTCTCCAGAAGCTCAAAGAGCCTTTGTCTCTCGGGCTTACTGCTGTGTCCTAAATGCCTAGATCAAGGTCTGGTACTCAACAAATATTTCTTGGTTGAATTAAAGCAGGTAAGATTTTTGCCCACATGGAATTTTTACTGTAATGGTTATAAATGGCTGATTTTTTTTTTTTTTTGTAATTCTAAAGGATGATTTTCTATGTGAGAAATAACAATTTTGTAAAACTTCTCGATGGTGTATAGAATATATGCAAAAAAGGGTACATCATAAGTGTATAGCTTGCTAAATTTTGACAAACCAGCCCCTAGCAGCCCTTCTGGTGTTCTCTTCTAGTCATAATCAGCTCCCTGTGCCCTCAATCACCACTCTGACTTCTAAGAGCATAGATTTGCTTTTACCTGCTTTTGTGCTTGAAATGAATGTAATCATACAGTAGGTACTCTTTCGCTTCTGGCTTCTTTCACTCAATATTATGTGTATGAGATTCATCTATACTGTTGCATGTCGGATGAAAAAATTTTAAAGAACATGTTATTGGGGAAGAGATCTATTCTGACTGATGCCCTAAAAGAATCACTCTAGTTTCTGTGTTGACAGTAGACAATGAAGGTGTGGTGGTCAGGAAGCAGGAAAACAGCTGGGAACCAGATGATTGTAATGTGGATTGGAGTTGGGATAGTAACAGTGAAACGAAATATTTGGGTTTTGGATAGACTTTGAGGATAAGAGCAACAGGATTCATTGATGGAGTAGATGATGGGGTATTGAGACAAGGGCATAGTCAAGGATGAAGCCAGAGTTCTTCTTGGCCTGAGCAGGAAGAAGGATGGAATCACCACTTAGAGGGATGAAGTCAGTGCTAGGGAGTAGGACTGGGCAAGAACAGGAGTTCAGTTTTGGAAGTTCGAGGCATTTTGCTGAACCAAGTGAAGCATTTAATACATAGGGGGATATAATTTAAGTCTGGAACTGGGTGAGATCTGGTGGATAAAGTGGAGAAAAATATGAGAAGAGTAATTTTTTTCTACAGGTTAAGATATAAATAAGAAAAGAACTTTGGACCAGTAGTTTAAAAAGTATATATAGTCAAGAGAAATTTCTTAGGATTTTTGTTTTGTTTTTTTTTTTAAGTTGAAATAAATAATAATAGTTCATAAGGTAATAACAAAAAGCTCCTAAGAAAGGAAAAATCCATGGAGAATCTGTATTTTCTTCACAAAACATCTCTGACCCTTAAAAAAGGGGCCCTTAAGATATGTTATTTGTTTTTAGTGAATGACTTCAAATTAATAAATTACCAAGCACATGCCTATGAAGAATATTTGCAAGTAAGTCTTAATAAGACTATAGAGAAGTCGATCCCATTTGGCTTTAGATAAAGTCTAGAATGCATTTGGCTTTTTTAGTTTTGACATACACTGATGGTTCAAACAATCTTACCATTACTTCTCCTTTTATTTCTTCTCTTCTCATGTAACCTCATGTGCAAATTTCCCTAGATCTGTTAGTCTTATCTTATACTTAAACTTTTTGCTTATGTACAGAATGTTCTTCAGTTGCATTAGTCAAATCATCTCTCCATGAAAGCAGAGGTACAGGCATACCTTGTTTTACTGCACTTTGCTTTACTGTATTTATAGGTATTGTAGCTTTCTTTTTTAAAAAAAAATAAATTGAAGGTTTGTGGCAACCCTGGGTCAAATAATTCTATTGGCACCATTTGTCCAAAAGCATATGCTCACTTCATGTCTGTGTCATATTTTCATAACTCCTGCAATATTTCAAGCCTTTTCAGTATTATTTTAACTATTCTATGATTAGTGATCTATGCTGTGAGTTGATAAATATATGTATTCTGACTGTTCTAATGACCACGTTTTTCCCTGTTTCTTTGCCTCTCTTTGGACTCCCTTGAGATAATTTAGGATGCTGTGTTGTCTTCGGACACAACAATATCACAGTTAGGCTACTTAATAATCCTACACTGGCCTCTAGGTGTTCAAGTGAAAGGAACAATGGCATATCTCTGACTTTAAATCAAAAGCTAGAAATGATTAAAGCTTAGGGAGAAAGGTATGTTGAAAGCCAAGACAGGCTGAAAGCTGGGTATCTTGCAGTAAACAGCCAGGTTGCAACTGCAATGGAAAAGTTCTTAAAGGAAATTAAAAGTGCAATTCCAGGGAATACATGAATGATAAGAAAGTGAAACAGCCTTATTGCTGATATGGAAATGGTTTCAGAAATTTGAATAAAAGATCAAACCAGCTACAATATTCCTTTAAGCCAAAGACTAAACCAGAGCAAGGCCCAAACTCTCTTCAATTGTATGAAGACTGAAAGAGATGAGGAAGCCGCAGAAGAAAAGTTTGAAGCTGGTTCACGAGTCTTAAGGAAAAAAGCTGCCGCCATAACATAAAAGTACCAGGTGAACCAGCATGTGTTGATGTAGAAGTTGTAGTAAGTTATCTAGAAGATCTAAGATAACTGAAAAAGGTGGCTACACTAAAGAACATATGTGTACCATAGACAAAACAGCTTTATATTGGAAGAAGATGCCATCTAGGACATTCATAGGTAGAGAGGAGCAGTCAATGCCTAGCCTCAAGGCTCAAAAAAACAAGTTGACTCTTTTGGTAGGGGTTAATGCATCTAGTGAATTTAAGTTAAAGCCAATGCTCATGTACCTTTCTGAAAATCTTAGGGCCCTTAATATGCTAAATCTGCTGTGCCTGTGCTGTATAAATGGAACAACAAAGCCTGACAACACATCTGTTTATAGCATAGTTTGCTGAATATTTTAAGATCACTACTGAGACCTACTGCTCAGACAAAAAGATTCCTTTCAAAATATTACTGTTCACTGACAATTTACCTGGTCACACAGGAGCTCTAACAGAGATGGAAAGGAGATTAATGTTGTTTTCATGCTGTTAACACATTATCCGTTATGCAGCCCATATATAAAGGAGTAATTTTGACATTCAAGTCTTATTATTTGAGAAATACATTTCCTAAGGCTATAGTTGCGAACCTGGGTGAAGTAAACTGAAAACCTTCTAGAAGGGATTCATCATTCTAAATGCCATTAAGAACATTCATGATTCAAGGCAGGAGGTCAAAATATCACCATTAACAGGAGTTTGGAAAAACTTAATTTTAACTTCTATGGATGACTTTGAGGAGTTCAAGACTTCAGTGGAGGAAGTAACTTACAGATGTTGTAGTCACAGCAAGAGCACTAAATACAGGGAAGGATATTTTGTAATAGTATAGTATTGTGTTACACTGTACAGTTTTAAAATTATAAATGGAGTTTGTATAAATTCACAATAATGTGACATAAAGAACATAGAGGTATAGTCTAAGATTGGATTTATTATCAGTAGACTGCACCACTGTCCTCTCTGTCTGTGTGGGGGATGATGCCTCTGAGTCTAGAAACTGAGCCGGTGATGGTGGTGACGGGACACAGCCCTCCACTCAGTGTTGTGCAAATGCTGCACAGCAAGAAACTGAATAAAATGAGAATGTTTTAACAACTGCTCTGAAGTCATAAAGATTCTTAACAGGGTCACTCCTGCTGAGAAGAATGTTTTCTACCATGTACGCATTTCTATCCAAGAAGTAAAGTATGTGTTCAATATTTGTACCTCATTAATGTTGCTGTACAGCTGTACTAGGAGGGGATATGAAGTGTAGGACAC